GGACGACGGATGGACAGAAATCGCCTTGCCTTTGCTTGGGCCTCACCCTGAGTTCGCAGCAGGGAGTGAGGTCATTGTCTGGTCGGCAGCAGGCGGTGCCGAAGCACGAGTGCACACGAGGGTCCGGCTGCTTGCCTGCACACGCGGGGGTGCCTGGGAAAAGAGAACATACGGTGAGTGCATTCCTCGAACGTCTCTCTCCCGGTCCGTCCGTGTGTAGTGAGTGCATGTCTGTGTGTGCGCATACCTGTGAGCGGCTCGGCGGCTTTTTCGCCCCGCTGCATGCCATTGATGTCTTCATTGATCGTCGCCACCTGTGCTTGAGGGTCCTGCAGACAGACACACGACGGACGGACACAACATACATACCGCAAGCCACACATACAGCGACCACCACACACGCACCCGTCCCTCCCTCCCCCCTCCCTGCCCCTCTGCCCTGCCCTGCCCACCTGGTGGGGCCACAAATCGGTCTCTCGGATGGACCACTGACGCGTCCGCCCTCGGGTGCTGCCATCGTCATGGGCACTCTGACCGCCAGCTGCTGCTGCTGCTGCCGGAGCAGGGCCCGACGGAGGAACGTAGTCCGAAGCAGCACAACGCGACTCGTACTCGGCAGCCTGACATAGTGCCAGGCAGGGAGAAGACAGAGGCGCGTGAAGGCTTGCCTGTCTTGTCTGTCCGTCCGTCCGTCACGTGGCTGAGTCCTAGCTGCCTGTCCTGACCTCTGTGTTGTGCTGAGTGTGCTCCGTGTGGGTGTTGGTGTTGGTGTGTCGCTGCTCGTCTTGGTAGAGGGGGAACTCGTTGGGCGTGTCGTCGAGCATGTCCAGGCCGACACGTACAGGCGGGCCATCCAACGACGTCGGCCACCCACCATTGATGGCCTGTTTGTTGTGCACAAGGGCAAAAGGGAAACAAACAAGTCCTGGATGGATGGTGGAAGGATTGGTGCTGATCTCTTCACTCACCTCCTCAGTGTGGGCGGACGGGACGGGGCTGCCGGGGGCACGGCGACTCAACAACACACTCGGCTCTGGACACACACACACAACACATGACAGACAGACAGACAGACAGAACACACAAGAGGGAACACATGATGGTTGCTGCTTCTCGTCCAGTTTTGCCATGTGTGGCGTGTTTGTGCGTGTTTGTGTGTGTTGGTGAGGATGCAAAGACGTACGTACCTGCAGACGGCTCCTGCACGATAGATGGGGGCGACATCTCAACTGCCCCGCCCCCACCATACCCGCCGCCAACAAACACACCGCCACCTCCATGTCCATGTCCGCCATACCCGATGCCCTCTTCCCCTGCCCCCTCCTCTCGCTCAGCCACAGACCCCATCTGACGCACCCATCCGCTCGGCCGCCCCCCGCCCAACCGATGCGACACCTCAGAGCGGCGGTCGTCGAACCGAGATGAAATGACCGTCCCCGCGCCGTCGTCATCCTCATCCTCATCCCCGTGGCCCAAGTGGCGATGGGCAACGCGTCGGTGGCGGTTTACCTCATCCTCGGGGCGCCGGTCCGCCAACTCCTCCATGCGATGGCCGCCACTAATGCGACGACTGCCCAAGGGCGCCCCGCGGGACTCCGACAGACGCTCACGACGACGGTCACGGTCACCTCCTCGCTCCAGTCGCGGCTGACGGTCATGGGTGTCGTGCTGCTGGTGGTGGTCGGGGAAGTGGTAGTCGTGCACCATGTGGGTGCGGGAACGAGTGCTCTCGTTGTCGTTCCAGTCGGCGAACTGGTTCTCGTCCATGGGGGTGCGGTTGCGGTGCAGCGAGCGTGGATGCTCATCGTCGGGCGGCTCGCGCACACGGGTGTGAGTGGGGTTGCGGCTGCGGAAGGCCGGGTCATGTGTGGGTGTGGTGCGTCGGGGTGGGTGGGGTGGGGGTGGGGAGCGGGCAGCGGATGACAAGCTCTGACGGCTGGTGCGGTACTGAGACTTGAATCGGCGTATCTCGGTTTCGACCACTCTGATTGTGTGCCACAGACGTGTCCAATGTCTGGGCATATTTGTGTATGTGTGTGTGTGTGGCATCTGTGGCTGGCTTACGTGAGTATGTCTGTGTAGTACTGGAAGTCGGCGTCGCGCACCGCACGGCCGTAGTTGCCTGTGGAGCAACGCAAGAGAGAGAATGAAGTATCTCCAACACTGTGGCGCCATCCATCTCCCCTCCCGTCGTCACTTACGCAGCAGTGTATCGATTTCGCTGACGTATGTGGTAGCGGGTGTGTAGTCGGCCTGCACGCACAACACACACACATGGAGTCGAGATGTGCTGTGAAGCGTGCGTGTGTCGGCCCCCGTGTGTGTGTGTGTCCTGACATTGGCGACCGCAATTGGGTCCTCCATCCGCCAGCAGTCATACAACTTCAAAACCAGCCTGATTTACACACAACACAAACCACACACGACACACTTCACAACAAGGACATACCCAACCCGGCATGACATGACCCCCACTCCCCTCCCACCACTTGAGACGCCGTGTGACTCTCGTCGACTCCGCATAGTTGTCACTGTCGTAGCGCTCCAGCTTCTGCTCGCCCTCGGCGCTCAAAGCCACTACCACCAACACACACATCCACACCACACCACACCACATCCACACCACACTCCCCTGCACACCTACACACCTCCCCCAGCCCACCCAGCCCCTTGCTGACGTTGTAGGTTATCGAGTATGGCCATGTGCCGTTCCCCTGCAGGCGCATCGTGGCAGTACCGCACGCGTGTGTGTGTGCCCCGAACGGTCCTGTAGCGGTCATGGCGGTCCCGCATCCCTCCTCTGTCGTCCTCCCGCCCGCCACCCCGGTGGCCACTTGAAACCATGGTCTGTGTGTGAAACACACCACACCCGGAGGGGTGCGCTCTTGCGAAGGAGCCTGGCTGCCTGAGCGCATGTGTACCTCTCGTGAGTAGCCGTATGGACCGTGCTCGTCCCGATGCCGGCTGCCCATGCCAGATCTGCCGCGGCGCCCTGCTGACCCACTCAGGCCGTCGCTAGGGCTCAGGTCGTCATGTCTGCGCCGGTGGCCGCCGCCGCCGCTGGGCTCATAGAGGTAGCTGCCGTCGTGCAGCATCACTCAGTTACTAGCCAAGGAACGAGAAGAGTTGCGGCCAAAAGTGAGCTCTCTCCTTCCGAAGGAAGCGTGCATTCAGCTCTTTTCCACAGGTCGCCTGACGTCGCCCTTCGCGCGAATTGTTTTACGGGAATTCGTGACAAACAATTTTGCGAGCTAAATTGGTTCCGACGTGTCTGTGCAGGAGAGAGCCTAAACGAATGGTGGACTTCAGCTTTATGACGGTGTGTCAGTCCTAGCTCGGCTCCCTTCAAGCGTGAAGCAACCAACGATGAGGAGCCACACACTCGCCGTCGCTGTGGGAGTGCCTCGTTCTCTGTTGCTTGTCTGTGTCCTGCTGTGCCTGGCCAAAGGTACCGAAAGACGCCCAGATGCAAGCACTGTGCAAGCCACACGTGTGTTTTCCTATCACCCTCTGCTTGCCTGCTTCACTGCCTGCAGGCGCCCTCTGTGCCGATGCTGCCAACCCTGACCATGTGAGCGCCACGACACACCCACACGCCACAAAGATCAGGCTCGGAAACGAGTGTCTGTGTTCGAGACTTGGACTGACGGTGACACACACCTCTCTCTTTGCCCTTCTCTGTCTGTCTGTGCGAATCAATCAGGGTATTCCTCGTTGTGTGCATGGTGTTGTGAGTGGCGTGTGTCTTGACAACGACGAGCGGACGTATGGTGAGGTCTATGAGGCGTCCGAGGGCGACCCCTCCGATGTGGTCTTTGCCGCCACATCCGTCACTACCGACGACCGCTACCTCAGTCCCGCCAGCGTGGCTTTCGACCCTCCTACTCTCGTCCTCATGGAGAGGTCAGTCAGTGAGTGAAGGAAGGGCACACCGAGAGCGCGACTGCAAACGCAAAACGGGATTCTGTGTGTGTTCGTGTGTGACAGGCCGATTTGTATCCCGGTGTGGGAGACTGTTCGCTTGACCAATCGGCTCGAGGAGGACCTACACATATTCTCTGTAGAGGTGCGCAACCCACACACACACACAGAGGACATCACCTAGACAGACCCACGAGGTAAAACTCTCCCTTCCTTGCTCGTTGTCTGTCTCAGGCCGACGATCCGGCGGTTCATCCGTCTGTGATGAAGCTGGAGGTGTTGGGGCCTGGCGACAGCACCACTGTGCAGGTGCTGGTGGTGCCGCTGCAAGTGGGGAGGATCGACGCCACACTCACTTTCAGGACAAACGCGGGACCGCTCGTCTACCATCTGACTGCAGAGGTGACTTACACGGGGAGGGAGGGAGGGAGGGAGGGAGGCGGGTGTGTGGTTTGACGTCGGTGTGAGTGTGTCCCACCCACCACCACCATGTGTGTGTTCCCCTCTCTCTGCCTGGCCTGCAGGCGATAGAGAATGCGTATTGGGTTGAGCCGATTGTGGCTGAGAGGGTGCCTGTCGGGGTGGCGTTCAGGCCGAGAGTCCAGATATACAACCCTTATGATGAAGTAAGGCGAGTCGCCTCAGCCAACACACACACAAGCCTTGATTCATGGCAACCTTGTGCTTATGTTATGCTCTGTTGTGTGTCCCCTCCATCCATCCTTGAATATGTCAGCCCATGCGAGTGCAGGAGATTTTCACGACAGAGGGCTTTCTCCAGCTGGTCTTGCCCGAGCAGGTTGTGGGCTCACTGGGTCTCTCATCGCGGCAGCTGGACTCCCTCAACATGCTGAGCGAGCCGCCGCCGCCATCCAACGGCCACAAACCGCCATCGCACCCGCTCACGCCGCCCACACAAACGCTCGAGAGCATCGGCAACCCGGCATACCCCACGGGGTTCGCCTCTCTTGAGAACTCCTTGGCGTCTCTCGCGTCCTTCTCGCCCTTTGTGGACGGCAGCAGCGACCCGCGTTCGTCGCCCGCCATTGCTGCCCACCCGATTGGTGACGGGTCGCAGCAAATCGGGGACAGCGAGCCACTCGAGACATTAGAAGAGGCCAGGGCAAGGACAGAGGGCCAGCAAAGGCATGAAGGCAGGAGACGGGCAGATGAGGAGAGTGGTGTGGGTAAGGGAGAGGGGGAGAGGGAGAGGGAGGGGGAGAGGGAGGGGGGCGGGTTGGGGGAGTCAACAGCAGCAGCAGAGGGCAGCAGCGGCAATGGCAGTGGTGCCAACGTGGTGTACCAGTCGCTCCGTGTGAGTGACCGGGGAGGGGGGGACGTCAACGGGGAGTGGGGCAGGCTGGCCGAGAAGAGCTGGACCATTCCCGGGCACGGCAATCGCACCGTCATCCAGCTCAACTTTGTCGGACAAAAGGCCGGACATTACAAAGGTGCCTTAGGCAAGGCAACACACCAGCCGCAACACACTCAGCACATCTATTGTCCGTCTGTCTCTCTGTCTGTCTGCACAGGTTTTGTGCATGTCAAGACGGATCGCGAGACGATGCTGGTGCCGGTGAGCATCGAGTGCGTGCAGGAGGAGGGCGGGGGGCTGCAGATTTCCCCCGAAGAGCTCGACTTCCAGACGCTCGTCTCAAGGCAACAGGCCAGGGTCATGTCGCTCTTCGTTGCCAACGCTTCGCCATACCGTGAGCAACGAAGCCCCATATATATGCACCCCTGTGTGTGGACGTATGTTATGTGGGGTGTGTGTTCGGCAGCTGTGTCGTTGACCAAGCTGACTCAGCCAGCCTACCAGAACGATTCGCGGCTGATTTTTCACTTTGATCAGAATGTGATGGTGCCGCCGGGACAGACAATAAGGTATGGTATGCCACACGCACACAAGCCAACGACACGACGCCCCGCCCCGCACACACACTCCACGCTGTGCTTGTGTGCGCGTGTCATGTGTGCAGGTACGCGAAGGTGACGTACATGGCGAGCGAGGAGGGTGACTTCAGCGGCACTGTGCTGCTGCACACCAACGCCACATCGGCCGTCTTCGCAGCCAAGAACGCCACTACCCCCACAGTCGCAGTGGCCTCAGCAGGAGGAGGCAGCAAAGGCGGCAAGAAGACCACCAAGAGCTCAGGCATATTCGAGATACCATACAGGGTCAGAAATAAGAAAGGCATAGAGGAGACATGTGTTGTGTGGATGAGTGGGATGGGGATTGGGTTGTGTTGGCTGCACTGCAGGCGCGTGTGGTGTTTGGCTCCCTGGGTTTCTACAACGAGCAGACCAAGTTCACCTGTCCGGCGCACTGGCTGCCGCCGCACTGCAACGTGACGCGCCAGATCTCCATCAGCAACTTCTTCCACCTGCCCGTCAAGATCCTGGGGGCGCGCATCACCGACCCCTCCTTCGAGATATTCGACTTCAAGAAGGACACCACGCTCATCTCTCGGGAGTCCTTCGAGATTCTGCAGCTGCGGTTTAGGCCACAGACGCGGCGGCAGCTGTATAAGACCGACCTCGAGCTCATCACCAATATCACCAACGTCAAAATACCCATCAAGGTGGGTGTGATGTGATGCGGACACATGGACACAGATGCGATGCGTGGATGGGATGGATACGCCGTTTGCCATGCTGTCTTGCTGTATGTGGTGTGTTGATTGATGTGGTGTAGGTCTACCACGGTTTGTTGTATTGCCAGACGGCCGACGAGGCGATGCAGGAGTGCTGCTTCAACGACAGGAGCAGGCACATTGACCTGGGCACCATCGGGGCCGGCGAGCGCACCAAACAGACCTTCAACCTGTCCAACCCCAACCCCAGCAACGTCACCATCGAACGAATCACATCAGAAGACCCTTCAGTGTCACTCACCTTCGAGGTCAGTCAGCAGTGAGGGAGAAAAGAAAGGAGCCTCCAAATAGATAGAAACCCATACAGACCCGTTCGCCACATGTCTTAATGTTGTTCAGGGGCTGCTGGGCAACGGCTGGTCTCCGTTGCGTGCGGTGTTCGGTCAGCCGCTGTCAGAGCTTCTGCCGCTGACTCTAGGCCCCGGCACTCGCATGCTCATCAACGTTCACGCACAGGCGCCATACGGCATATCGCACCCACCGAGAGACTTTGCTGTCAACCTCACCACCGACGCCGCAGAAATCATCACGGTAAGGCCGGCTGGGCCTTGTAGGGACGCGTGTGTCTCTCTGTTGGTGTGTGGTGTCTGCAGCTGAATGTGCGCTATGAGAGCGTGTCTGGTGCTCTGTCTGCGATGCCGTCGCTGCTGAGGTTCGAGGCATCGTTCCCTGGGAGAGTCCAGAGCAAGGTGAGCAAACAAACTCCCGGACAGCGTAGCGTCAGATTACACTGCACCTCTTCTGTGTGTCGACCGATCGCTGCATCGCATCGCCTCAGGTGTTGGCTGCCCGGTCGACATTTGAGCGTCCGCTGCAGATCCACGCCATCCGCTCGACGGACCCGCGCATCGTGGTGGAGCCCCTCAATCGCACCGTCACCCTCAAACCTCTCGCAAAGACAGATCTTGCTAGGGTTTACTTTGACCCCGCACAAGTCAATGCTGAAGGTACGCCCCGCCCCGTCCCGCCCCGCAACATAAACGATGGATGGAAAATATCATCAGCTCATGGACGTGGGATGTCGTGTTTGTTGTGTGTGTGACTGCAGCAAACTATTTATTTGATCCCACGTTCAATCTGGATTGGTCGCAGCCGCTGGACGGCCGAGTCGTGGCGTCGTACAACCAGCGGCAGCGGATGTGGGAAGATCTGGGGGCCGCGGGTGCGACCGACATCAAGGCGCAGCTGCAGTTCGACGCCACGCCCGCCCTCTCGTCCACGGTGCAGGTGCGTGCCTTCCTCAACAAGCCGTCCATCATCGCATCGCATGCGACGGGCATGACGCGAGACTACAAGCTCGAGTTTGGCCTGGGCGACATCGGCGGCAAGGCAACCAGCAAGTTTCTGACGGTGCAGAATCCATCGGATCAGCCGCTTGCTGTGCAGCTTGTACTGCCGCCAAGATCGCCCTCCCCTGATGTGCCCCTGGACAGGGGAGGCGTCAACACGCTGGCGCAGCAGACGGCATGTGGGCCGTGGAAGCTGCCCTCTGAGGCGACGAATGTGGTGTTCCTCAAGCCGCAGGAGGAGAGGAGGGTGGGGCCCATCCTGTTCGACCCCCACAACATCAAAACCTACTCGGCCGTGCTCTACGTCCGCAACAATCTCACAATGGTGTGCCCCGTGACACTCACGGGCACAGGAGGCGCCTCGCGGGTCGTCTTCGAGGGGCCGAATAAGGTCAAGGTCGATGTGCGGTCGGCGGAGTCGTTCTCGCTCATGAGTTCAAAGCCCATCGCCAAAAAGGCCCAGGTGTTTGTCAACGACCAGAAGCTGCCGGCGGAGGTCAGCCGGGTGGAGCTGAGGGGCAAGATCAATTGCCGCCCCGTGGGGGCGTCACACGTCCTCTGCGCCCCCCTCACAGCGGCGGAGAAGACGGACCAGAAAAAAATGGACAGAGAGGCCGGGCAGGACGCCAACGACCTGTTGATCCGTCTCTACACCACCAACCAGGGGACGCTGGACGTGCCACTCGAGTCTGATCTGCCGCCGGCCGTCATCGCACTCATCCGATCGGTCCCCTTCAACCCTGCCCACGCCCTCACCTGTGGCTGCACCGTCCTTGCCGTGGTTGTGGGCACTCTCCTGGCAGTCCACCGATACGCCAGGCCGGCAGTAGTGTGGCTCGTCAAGGTCCTGCCGTATGCCAAGACCATCGAGCTCATCCCATTTCCGTGGCTGCGTGCATGGTTTGAGGAGGCCCTGCAGCCATACCTGCATCCGCCGCCAAAGGAGAGGCGCGGTGGGGCCGGCCGCAAGAAGAACGGCAAGAAGAGTGAGAAGCTCGTCGCGTCAGAGGAGGAGTCTCCCGTCGCCCTCCCCGCCGACACTTACAGGAGATGGCTGCCCGCTCGTCTGTGGTCTCGCCTGGTGTGGCGGAGGAGTGGCGACTCGAGCCCCTCGCGCGTCCCCCCGCCAGCACCACAGCCGACACCACCAGTCGCTGCACCTGCAGTGGCCCAGCCGCAGACGGCCCCAGTCGAGGAGACACCAGCACAGGCGATCTCTCAGACGGCGACTGACGACGTGGCCAAGAAGCCCGCTGACACCAAGAAGGACACCAAGGGCCGCAAGCGGCATGCGAACAAACAGCAGACGGCGCGCCCGGTCTCTGGGGGTAGCAGCTCTAGCACAAGCGCCACGACCACGCCGACCAGCGTTACCACGACTCCGAGCGGCATGCGCGACGAGGAAGAGATCCCCGCGTCGCCCACACCCGATCCAGAGGTGCCCCCGAGGACGGCAGAGGTGGCAACAACCGAGGCCTCAAAGGTGGTCAAGGGCAAGAAGGACGAGAGGCACAAGGGCGGCAAAGGCAAGGATGGGACCAACAAGAGACCCGCTGCCACCATGGGCGGCACGCATACCTCCAAGTCGCCCAAGGAGAAGAAAGGCCGCGAGGAGGACGCGGGTAACGATGCTGACGACGAGGGATGGGCCAAAGTGGAGTCGAATCGCAAGACGACGGGTCGGGCGGCACCACCACCAACCCCCACGCCCACCCCGCCCCCCTCTGTACCGACCACCACACAGCTCAAGGCGGCGAAGATCGAGGTGCAAACACGACCGGCGCGGCCCAAGCAAGACGATGGCAAGAAGAAACAGCAACCGGTTACCGCAGCTACCGCCCCTCCAGTGACCGTGACTACAGCAGAGCCGCCCCGTCTGCCGCTGCCGTCAACCAACACGCCGCCGACCACGGGCATCCGGAAGCCTTCTTATCCCTACTATCCATCCCTGTCACCGCAGACGCGCTCCGTGGCCACGCCCACGTCCACTGGCGGCAATGCGACCCCATCACGCACACCCACACACCAGCAGCAGCAGCAGCAGCAGGCAGCCAGGAGGGGCGGAGTGGTGCCACAACAACAGGCCACACCAACACAGACGACGCCACCAGAGGAGGAAGCAGCAACACGACACATCAAGATCCTCCAGCGGCCCAAGAACGCCCCTCCGCCCCCCCAGCAGCGGCCAATTCACACCGCCAACCTGTCACCCGTTTTCCCGGCCATCGTGCCCAGCAGCAGCGGGTCAATCGCAAAGGTTGGCGACACCACCATGCCCGCAATACCGCCGCGACCACAAGGCCCGCCGGCCCCGCAGCAGCACCCTAAAGCTGCCGGCAAGGTGGCGACTGACAAGGCACCTGCGGCAAGGCGCGTGACGCTCTCCGTGTGGGACACGCCAGTGGTCCAGCAACGAAAGCAGGAGGAGAGGACGGTGGCCACAAGGCCCGTGCAGCACCTATCGCTGGAGCAGCAGCACCGAGGCATCCTGGACGATCTCCGCACCGCCACGGAGCAGCAGCACGCCGCTCTCGGCCCCATCGGTCCGTCTGCCAACGTGAAGCGCCCCAGTGTGGGGGTCATCGGGGCGACTCCAGGTCGAGCTGTCGATGAGCCTGTCCCGCCCTCTGGTGGCGCCCACGTCGACGCTGGCCTTCGTGGCACCTTCCTGCCGCCGGCTTACCCCTCTGGCCCGTCGCTTTTTTCCGAGGCCAGCCAGGACCTCCTGCCGCAAGTCAAGCCATTTCCAGGGCTGGGACTGGCCACACACACTAACACCAACACCACCAGCTGGGGGGCGGCCAAGCAGCCAGAGCGGACCACCATGCACCAGACGTATCCGTCGAGATCGCCGTCTACATCTCCGCTACTGGCCAAGATGGGCGGCAACGGGCCCTCGGCCTCGCCCCAGGGCTCGCCGGAGAGGCGCGCGTCGTCGGTGGCGCCCATCCCGATGTCGCTGCTCGATTTCATGGACAACGACAACGAGACAGAGACCGGCACAGGATACGGCAGGAAGGACACACTCCTCTCTGATGCATCGTCCGCCAACGGACAGGGGCAGCCGACGGTACCCGGCACCTCCCAGTCGATCGGCTCTGACGGCAGCAACAACAAGACCGACTCCGAGTCGTGGAACTTCCGCACCCGCCCCTCCGGCCCGTCGCTCTTCTCTGGCTCGCTGTTCATGTCGCTCAACTCGGGCCCCAGGCCGCAGCCAGCACCAGTGGACATGGGTGGTGAGGTGCTCGCTGGCGAAGTGTCCCACACGTCGCCCGACACCCGCACACCTTTCGCCGCCCACTTCCCCTCGGCCATGGCGGCACCCTTCCACCCGCGCCAGCAGCCATTGGCTGAGGACGAGATGCCTGAATGGGCGAGGAGCGATGTGACGCCGCAGCAGTGGGAGTGGGGGGCATAGTGATGGAAATGCTACGTGGGGAGTGGTGGGAGGGGGAGCGGTGAGCGTGTAAGCTACGTAAGGTCCCTTGTGCCGGGACAGTACTGAGAGGGGCGGGGAGGGGAGGGGCGGCGCTGGGCAGAGAGGAGATGAGGGTTGGGGTGCCATGCCGTGACTGCAGTGTCGTGAGCGAGGTTTGAATGAATGGAGGCACGGCTCGAGTTGTCATTCTGATTTGATTTATACGTCTCGCCGCTGGCTGGCACTGGTGTCTCGGGTCTTTGCCGTCTTGCGTCTGAAGGTCAAGGATGCTCCCGTTGTTTCCGGTGGGTGTCATTTTCCTTTGGACGGGCGACTGGAAAGGCCAGAGGCATCCAGTGCATCGCAACGCGGCTACAGAATGCAAATTCGCTACTTGCCTGAGGGAACGTAATTGTCTGAGCATGAAGACAATGACAACACACAGCACGGCCTGACCTGTGTAGGTCCAAGGGCGTGGCGTAGCGACTGAGAATAATGCGTGTCCGTGACTCTGCGTGTGTCCGTGTGCATGTGTCTGCGGTGCGGTTGGCTGTCTGGGTGGGGCTTTCGGTGGCTGGGTGGCTGCGGGATGGTATGGTAATGCATGTATGTGTTGACATTGATGTGTCTCGTCGGTCGTGATGGGACACTGACTGACTGCAAATGGGAGAGAAAGAAAGCTGCGGCTTTTTAGCGTTAAGACAAGGCCGGCGGACACTCGGGCAGACGCGGGCAAGCGCCGGCAACGCGACATACACACACCACACACCTAGGCAATTTGCACCCTGCTCGTGGTGATACGTTCGGTGTTGGGGGGTCGATCTTTGTCTGTGAGAGTGCATTGGGGAACTGAGACCGCAGAGAGAGAGAGAGAGAGAGAGCGGGAGAGCGAGCAGCAGGGTGCACAAAGGGATGCGCGAGGGGGAAGAGACCAACAGGTATTTCTTGTGCTTGGTTGTCCCTTGTTGAAACTCTTGAAACCGGCAGACAGACATGAATGAAGTCCATTGTTGTTCTGAATCACACGCACCCATGCACGAACCAACCATGGATGCAGTCCCACGCACAGAGAGAGAGGCAGCCCGGCCCGCCCACCGCACCGCCACAAATCATACCATCACACCCTATCAAGTGGGTGGGAGTGACTCACTCACGCCCCTTGCTACGATCGATTCATCCCTCTACGTGCTAACTATCTGTCCACCTCTCTCTCACACCGCAGCGACACACCGGCCGACCAGCCCCATGTGTGTGACCGGCACATCACACACATGACGCCACACGGCAAGCAGATGGCCGTGCCGACAAACCAACCCACTACCTGCTCATCGACAACAACTACCTACTCATCGACAACTCCAACCTACTGATCAGAAAACCAACCAAATACCTACTCATCGACAACAACTCCCTCCTACTCATCGACAACAACTACCTACTCATCGACAACAACTACCTACTGAGGGTGCCCCATGTTGGCCTCCACCTCCCTCACCGTGTCTGACAGCCCCAGCCGCCCCAGCTGACACCGCCGCCGATGTGTGTGGCACACCTCGATGGCATGCTCGATGAGGTCATCGTCCGGGCCAGCACGTGGTTCAGCTGGTTGTTGCTGAAGTCCAGGGGGTGGGCAGGCACTGTCAGTGGGGTTGGGGAGGGGGATGTGGCGGCGGAGGCCGAACAGGAAGCACTGCAGCCCTATGCAGAGACGGGGGTGCGTGAACAGGTAGGCCACATCGACCACCTGCTGGTTGTGCTGCCCCGGTGCTGGCAGCCGTTGATGATCTGGTGCATCAGCTGCTGGTACCCAGCCATAGCCGTCGACTTGGCTATCTTGTGGTGGGCCAGCTGCTGGCGTGTTTGGGCGTTTGGCTGCGGTGGGTAGGCCGCCACAGCACCCGGTGCAGCACGCACCCCGTTCTGCGCTATGTGGCTCAGCTGCCAGTGCATTCCTGGTTGGTACACACAACATACACAGCGCACACAAAATACAAACAGAGACCAGTGCCTTGCCTTGCCTTGTCTTTTGTGTGTGTACCTTATCGCTTCGGTATGAGCACATCCGGGCCGCCCACCATGCCCACCCACCAGCGACCCGCAGCTCTGTACAGGTCCATGTTGCCGGTAGGCAGGATGATGGGCTGGCCCAGCGACGCGCGGATCTGGAGGGCGATCGGCACGGCTACGCACCTAAACCACACATACAGACGGACCCGCATACAGACGGACCCGCAGCTCGAGGCAGGGCTGCGGGGTCCATATCGTCACCAACTCCCGTATGAAGATCCATCTGCAGACAGGCAGGAATGGGAGACACACCAGACACACCCATCATGCCATGCATTCACACACGTATGGATGTGTGGAGGCATCTGCTCACTCGTAGTTGTAGTCGGCGCGTGTGTGGATGACGTCACCCGTGAAGTTAAGATAGTCTATGATATGCGGCAGGTAGTAGTCCAGACGGAGGGTCTGCAGGGACCAAGAGACACAACAAACACATCCATTACGCGTCGATGGCTGCACGTACTCGTCTGTGCATATTGGATGGATGGATGCACTGCTATCTGCTCATTCACAACTTATCACGTGTGTGTTGCTGTAATGGTGGCGGGCTGAGAAATGAATGACCCACCCATAATACTCCCTATGGTCCCGGAACCGCAGCCCCGCCATCGTATAGCCCGTCCTCACCGCGATGGCGTTTTTGGGGACGGGCATGGTGCCAGGGTGGAGTTGGTGCCGCAACTCCACCCTGTTGGCTATTCGGAAGCCATCTGAGGGCGGCATGGCGCCTCAGCACTCCTGCCGGCGGCTTCGGACCGGCGGATGTTGGTTTTCTGTGAGGGAGGGGCGAGGGGGACGGGGGAGTGGGAATACGGGGATGCGCGGGCGTCAGCTGGACGCAAAATTCGTCAGACCAGGCGAAGATTACGCTGATTTGACGAGGATGGCGAATGCGGGGCCTCAGACACTGCCAGTCCTCCTGCCTGACCGCCATCTCCAGCACCTCCTGCAGCGTCAACCCCCTTTCCCGCTCCGCACAATGGCCGGCAACGAATCCAAAGCGCATCTTAAACACATCACGCTCCCTGGCGGCTGCTGCGGTGGTCCTCTCGAGGGCTGTCGTGATGAAGAGGCGGATGATCTGGCTGATGGGTGCCGGAGAGGGGCGAGCAGGTAGGGCGGAATGGCGTTGCACATGTAGCCGGCGATTTCCATCTTGATCTCCCTCAGAATCCCGTCGTCGGTGGCCGCACGGATGGACCAAAGTGGCCGCAGGGTCAGAGAGCGGAGCCAGGGGGGGGGGGGTTGGAGAGAGTTTACAAGGAATGCCTTTTGACGCGCGGCTGCCTTTTTTGCACAAAAAGAAATGAGTGGAGTCGCACCGAAACGGCCGAGAACGGCGGCGGTGCGGGGCGATAGTTTTGGCGAGGAGGCGGGGATGGATGCTGGCCAGACGACGTCTGGTCAGGTGGAGAGTGCATCGCACAGCGTCGATGTCGGCGCCTTTGCTCAGCGCTTCAGCCAGATCGTACGATGAAAGATGCACTCACGTCAAAGCTCCCCACAAGCACACTCGTATGCATCATTGCCTTGTTGTGTGTGTTGTTCGTGCAGCCTGTCATCATTGGTTGTGTGTTCTCATTCCTGTCGCTCCATTTGGTGGCGGCGCTGCCCCAGCGGCTCTGGCGGCACGTCTGCGCACAGATCACCCATTTGGTGATGGACACCTACAACACGGCCGAGTGACCAGCGGCCGAGCGGCGCTTCTGGTGCGGCCTGTCGTTCAGCGATGCCTTCGAGTGGGGCCGGCGGCTGACGCAGCTCAAATCCGTCGTCGCCCGATACCCCATTTCCGGAAATTTGTATGACTACGGAAAGGGGCTGCAGCGTGCGGTGAACGACAAAGTGACGGCAGTGGTGGAGGGGCATGCAGAGGGACGCAGGGCGGCGCAGGCCGGGGGAGGCACACTCGAGTCCATCGAATTCGACGGCTTTTACCTACGATTAGAGACTTCGATGGGAGAAGATGGTACGTCCATGAGAAGAGAACGACTAGAGATGTCTGTACACATTTGCGTGAATGGACATTCAGGTGATGTTTATCAAGATGATTTCGTACGAGACATCGACACGGACGAGGCCAGAGAAGTGGCAGCCATTGCAGAGAACCCACCCACCCTCCCCCCTCCCCTCGAC